AAGAGTGTGAGCCAAGCACGAGTAAAGCGGCAGAGTTTATTTTGAAGAAAATGAAGAAGTCCAGCAAACATCTTTTTGGCTCAGATTCTTCATCGTATGAGTCAGATAAAGACGATATCTATGCCCATTCTTCATCAACCCGCCTACATCACTCGCTTTCATCTTTGTCTGCTGGAAACCCACGAAGATCACATTCTCCTCACAGTCAGCACGCAACTTCTCCTCGATCTACAAGGAAAAAGTTGAAGAAAAGTTCTTTACTGCCAAAGCAAGTGAAAGAAGCTGTTATCAAGTCTGGGTTGTCCAAAGTGGACTTGTCGCGTGAATTGTTGGCCAAACAGATCGCTGAAATCATTGAGGAAGAACGGGGTAAGCTGCCACCAGAAGAAGCTAAGCAGCTCAAGAGACCCCTGTCTCCGGCAACCCTAGATGTAGTCATACAAGATTTGATGCAGCATCATATCTCGGAGGATACTAGCCCAAATAGAGAGCTGTTCGCGTCGAAGTTGCTTGGGACAGACCTTTTCTCAAAGTTATTTTTTCGCGCGGGAAAGTGTGTGTTTCGGCATTATGAAGAAATGGACGACTTGAGTAGAAAGGAAAAAGGAAAAGGCTCATGTCAGAGGCGGAAAGGAGTTGGCTCACGCAAGAGGGATACAGAATTATTAAGAGGGATCAGGAAATCGCGTGAAATACAAAAATATAGAGATGCAGCAAGAGCGGCGAAGGAGCCATCGGAGGCTGAGAAAGCTGCAGCTGCCGAAAGAGCGAAGTTAGAAGCAATGCCATGGCTTGCACGGTCGACATTCAAACCAATCATTCAGCAGGGCTCTTCTACACGATTTGTAATTCCAAAAAAGACAGCTACAACTGGAAGTGGAAACAAGCAAGACTCTCGAGATACCTCTGCTGTTAGACATCGTGACTTTTCACGTCATAGTGATACTCCAAAGCTTCGCAGCAATAAAGGAGATGAGCCATCTGTTGAAATTCAAAAATCTTCCCAAAATCTTGGCAAGATGGAGATTTTCAAAAGAAGCCGTTCACCATCTGACAATCTTTGCGATAGAACTATATGCAGAAGCTATGAAGAGCGTGCGCCAAAGCCATATGACTATAAGTCTCCTGTGAATAGGTCTGAAGAAGTAGCAGTTTCTCTTTCGTACACTCTGATCCCAAAATCTGGTTTACAGAAAGCTAAGGCTAAGTACACATGGTCATTGAAAAGGTGGAGATCCGCAGCAATATCAGTAGAAGAACCTTTGGAGTCTTCATCACATCATCACGTCGAGGAACCACATACTGTGAAGCAGGATATTGCTTGTGTTGAAATTCATGATAATGCACAATGTAGGGTGAACAGCATCGCTGAGGCAAAGATCGAAAAGCAGCCAGCGCTCGCGGAATCGTCAACTTCTCTTACTAGGGCCGAATGCGCATCTGCAGCAGAAGCAGAACTTGCAGCTCTTGCACTCCAAGAAGAGTTATCTAGAAGCGAGCAAGGTTCCCCCGATGACCAGTTCGATGCCCTGCGTTATCTAGCTGCTATGCCAGAGTCAGAATTCCATGTTGCTAATGAAGACAATGAAGTGCTGCACTCGACAAGTGTTCCTCAGCGGGAATGTCTCTCATCCAAGGTGGAAACTTCCGTGTGTCCGCCAGTTGCACCAAAACTATTCTCGCCAGAAAGACCACGCTATGAAAATCACTTCGAGCAAGTAGACTGGATGAGAATCGAGCAAGTTTCGCAACCATTTTTTGTCAATGAATTTGAGACAGACCCTTGGCGTCTTCCTCTTTCCACTGCAGATTCGTTAACGCCGAAACATGTTCTAGAAAGTCCACAAACTACAGTAGCTCTTTCTTCGGCATCTCTTTACTCAAGTTTACAAGAAGAATTGGATATAATTGTAAGAGACACACTTGCGGATACTACGTACGAAATTCAAGCAAACCCTATTCAAAAACCTATGCAGCCTTTATTGGAGAGATTTGAGTGGCCTAAGGCTGATGTACCTATTCGAAGTTATGCCCTTGACGTTATTCTTCCAAAACTTTCGTGCGATAAGTCTAGAATTCCAATTATAGACATGTGTTGTTGTAAACGGTGTCTGACTAGATGCGTATACTTCTGTGATGACGATGAGTGGAAGTATCTGTACGACTGTGCAGTTTCTCGGCGTAAGGAGAAAGAGAGCACTAAATTGGTTCAAGATAGTCTGGTTGAGGAGTTCTGTTCAATCACTCCGATCTTTTTGAGGAGACCAGATCGAAGCCATGCGGAAACCCAACTGCATGTTTGCCAAAGTGTATCGGCCAAACTGAAACAGAAGATTCGCTTTGTAGAGGAAGCTAACTCAGTGACACAGAACCTTCTTAAGGGATCAGCACATGGTCGTGCGGTGTATTCTTGGTCTGACCATGAATGTATTTTTGAAAGTCATTGCGCCAGATTCAGACCAATCCATAGAGTTTGTTCAACGGCTCAGAATTTTCTCAAGAAATTCCAAAGTTATGGCGCTGAGTACTGTTGGTACACCTACCAGCGAGTATATGATTCTCAGAGCATGTGCGTCGCCATTGC